GGAAATCAATCCATGCTGAATGATATAAAACACACCCCAGGCCTGATCAGGAATTGTCCAGCAAAAGAAAATAGTCAGTGTTCCAGTAGGTAGAGCATTCAGTTGGGATATGCAAAATTAAGGTATAGTCCCAGGTCTGATTCAGATAGAGCTGGACATTAACCCAAATCTCCTTTAACCCAGGTGAGTGCTTTTACCATGAGGCCATTCTGGAGGAGTCTCTCTCAGACTCTCCCATTGAAGCTTTCATTTTGCATTCATTAAACAAGATAGTGAGCGATCCACCACAAAGTAGCCTAATTCAGATCAGGGACTTAAGCTACTTAGCGCAAGTGGACAAGGTTCTATAGGTAAATCTGATATCTTTTATTAGACCAACTAAATAGTAAGAGAACAATTTTTAAGCAAGCTTTCAGGTTCCCAGGTGAGCACTGTAATCAACAAGCTACTCTAGCATTGAAGTGTCTCTTGTGAGGGGAAAAAAAAGAAAATGGACTTGGGTGTCTTCTGATGAAGAATAAGAATTTTTTCAAGTATCAGTTTCCATTGGAAACCATTCTCCACTGAGCAGTAATGTAGCCTTTGCTTTTGGTATTTTCCAGAGTCGTCATATAGGTGTGTAGTGGGGTAGACACCACATTGGCAGGAAAGGTTAACAAGCTTCTGCAGGTCTCATTAGCCCCATTCTGCTACATCTGCAAAAGGGGTCAGGCTTGAAGGGCAGGGTTAAGAGCAGAAAACATGGCTGGATTGGATATTGGCCAGGAAAATGGGCAGGCTTCCAGCTCTTATGATGTGAGAGGAAGAGAGTTCTGGCTGTCCCAGAGACATGGGACTACTTTTTGTTACGTATTAACTGTCATGTACTTAAGAAATGGCCACCTGTCACAGCTACCAGAGGAAAGACAAGCCTGATATGAGGTTCCTTTGGGAATCTGCTACAAGTGCATTCTTGTTCATTCTGGGTAAGACTGATGCAGGTGGTGCTTTGCCTGATGAGGCCAACAGCCAAATGAAGATAGGGATCCAGCAGTGGTTGGCAGCGAGCCCATGGCTGATCTTGTCACAACAGGTCAGATATGTTTCATGCAGCGGTGATAACTATATGTCCCTTAAAATTGAACTTGAATAATACAATGCATATTATTCCCAAAATGTCTAGATGATACCAACCATCATACTGATTCAATTTGCAGATGCTCAGATATGAAACTTATAATAAGGGTCTTACATGTAACATCTGAAACTTTTTCAGCCATAGCACATCAAAGTTTTAAGGTTACTGATGAGTGAAATAACAGCTGGGAAATGACAGATCGGCTTAAATCAACTATGGCTAAATTCAATAAAGCCGAAGTAAAAAGATTTGGGTTTCAGTAGGTAGTATCTTCGCTCAGACACAGGGTCGTTGGCACTGAGGCTACCAACACCAGTAACTGGAGAGCAGGGACCACTGTAACTATGCCATCCTAACCTGGGACCGATCATTCCTCTTCAGACTTCAGCCTTTCTTCGCGTATCACAATTATTCAATCCTGCAAACATTTATGCATGCAAATAACCTGAATGGAACTGCTCAAACAGGTAATGTTGAGTGAGTGTTTACAGGAGCTGGCCATCAAAGAGCAAATGACATTCTTCAAATCTATCTAAACAAGGAAAAATCTAATTTAGGGACTGCCTTTTTTCAGACCTTAGCATCCACAAATCCCCATGGAGATCAACTGAAAGTGGGGATGTGGCCAAAACAAGAACAGTTTGATTTAGTAAAGCTAATGCAATGCCTCATAGTCCCTTTCTCTATTATGATCCAAAGGCCTTGGACTGGAGCAAATTTCCCATGATGCATTACTTCCTCTCAGCATGGGTCCATCATAGAAAATATAGTCTGACCAAGTAGCACAGTTTTTAGAGGATAATAGGCACATGAGACACTGTGGCAGCACTACTGCACTTTTTTGATAAAAAATCCTTTGTCATTTGTCAGCTACCTCCCCCTCCCATTTTTCAGACCAGCTCTAAAAATCTTTCACTCTACTGGTGGATGCTGGATTTGGTCCATACCAGACATTAAAAAAAGAAAGAAAGAAAGAAAGAGACACTTCTATTACTTCTAACCACTTATGGCATTAAAGACACTTTTCATATAGAATAAAATAGTCAATTATCAATCAGTAATGTGCTCTAAGGCTATCTAGCAAACACTGCTTAGGCTGCTTGCTGATGTAAAAAAAAAAAGAAAAACAAGCTTTACCGGAACAAGCAGCATGTTACTTTAACCTGGCTCCACAGCATTTGTATAGATTGGGTGCTTCAGCGGAGACTTTTTGGTGCTTTTATCCAATAGTTGATTCAATTGGCTATTAGATAAAAGCACCAAAAAAAACTCTGCTGAAGCTCCCGACCTATACTGATGTTGGGCAAGCTGAGTCCAACTAACATACTGCCTCTTCTGGGCATGCGCTGGGCTTGGGAGCATGCACAGTTTAAAGTAAAGTGCCCTTTTGTTTTGTTTTTTCAACATCTGCAAGCAGACTAATTATGTTCTAACAATTCTGGATTAAGCAATAAAATGCTTGAAACTGACATTCCTACATCCCCTGACTTTGTCCTATATGACCTGCCAAAGTCACTAGAATATAGTTATTCATTAAAGTCTACTCTTGGGGACTGCTGAATAACTGCAATTCCTATCATCTTCCAGGGATGTGAAGGACACTTGACACCTTGAATAATCAAAAGGCACAGATTAAAAAACAAGCCAACACACAACACCACAGATGCCAGGAGGGAACAGAAGATTAATCACCTTACATATAAAGACTGATAGCAGGAGAAAAGGGAAGATAGAGAAGCTATAATAGCTCACATGGGATTGAAGTCCCTATGGCTATGGACAGACATTCAAAAAGCCTGAGCCTGAATTGATTCAATCTTTGAAGGTTAGTCTAACTTGGCTAGGTTGAACTAGTTTGGAACCGCACAGATACCCACTCTGGACTGAGAAAATTCAGGCACATACCTGCAGTGGCTCAGGCTAAAAACTGAGGGGTGCTAAAGCAGCCCTCCCTTCCCTTTTATACTGCTGAGCTGAGCGGGGTGTGGCCAGGCCCCAGAAGAATGCTCAGATTAGAGAGGGGTTTAAACCCCACCCTGCCTGCACAGGCTTTTCCCTGCTCATTGCTCAATGGGCGGGAGTGTTGCAAGACACCAGCCCCTGGCTAGCACTCTGAGGAAAAGCAGGGGTGTGCAGTGTGTGCATCTGTTTCATAGATTTCATAGACATTAGGGCTGGAAGGG